TTCGGTCTCAACACCCCCATGCAATGCTACAGGCTTGGGGAGGAGTGGCTGGAGAGCTGCCCGGCGGAAAAGGACTTTGGGGTGCTGGTTGACAGCCAGCTGAACATGAGCCAGCAGTGTGCCCAGGTGGCCAAGAAGGCCAAGGGCATTATGGCTTACACCAGGAACAGTGTGGCCAGCAGGAGGAGGGAGGTGATCGTGCCCCTGTACTCGGCACTGGTGAGGCTGCACCTCAAATACTGTGTTCAGTTTTGGGCCCTTCACTACAAGAAGGACCTTGAGGTGCTGGAGCGTGTCCAGAGAACGGCAACAAGGCTGGTGAGGGGTCTAGAGAACAAGTCTTATGAGGAGCGGCTGAGGGAGCCGGGGCTGTTTAGTCTGGAGGAGGCTGAGGGGGGACCTTATCGGTCTCTACAACTACCTGAAAGGAGGTTGTAGTGAGGCAGGTGTTGGTCTCTTCTCCCAACTAACTAGAGACAGGATGAAAGGCAACGGACTCAAGGTGCATCAGGGGAGATTTAGATCAGGTATTAGGAAAAATTTCTTTACTGAAAGAGAGAAGAAGTTCAGGCATTGGAACAGGCTGCCCAGGGAAGTTGTTGAGTCACCATCCCTGGAGGTGTTTAAGAGACGTGTAGATGTGGCCCTTGGGGATATAGTTTAGTAGTCATGGTGGTGTTGGGTTGACGGTTGGACTTCATAATCTTAGAGGTCTTTTCCAACCTTAATGATTCTATGATTCTACAAAAGGGCAGATATGCTTTCAGAGTTCTTCTTTTACCCCAGATTAACAAATTGGACATGCATTTTTTTCCTCAGAACCACCTGCGGGATCAGTGACTGTGCCAGCTTCCTTTTTTGTCCCCACATAAAACAGCTCTATGAAAGACTTGGGGATGTGTCAAATTAAGATAGTGATATGGATGGGAAAAAGATACGCATTTGAAACTATAGCCCCCTCTTTGCCTGCAGAAAGGACAAGGTATGTAACTCCCGAATTGGAGGGGGAACCCTGTTTTAACCATTTTGCTTCATTGGATTTTATAACTGCTGCACTGGGTTGCAAAAGGCTGATAAAATCTATTTTAAACAAAGAGCATAAGTCCTCCAGGCTAATATTACTATGCATCTACTGCCTGCTTTCCCAATTACTCTTGTTTCTTGAAGTTATGTTGATAAATCAGTTGCCTTCCTGTTCATTAAAGCATGTGGCAGTCTGTTTATTTAATCATCTCTTGGCCCATTTTCTAATTAAGGGGAATAATGTGGGCTCATTTCCTGCCGTGGTGAACCTGGCAGGGCACAGGTTGTCCTCAACTACTGCATTAAAATTCAAGATTATTTGTAACGTCTGCTTTTGTTTGGCAAATCTTTCCCTTCTCTCTGCCCAGCTGAAGAAAAAAATAGAGACATACATTTTCTTCTGCATTTCCACACTGCTGACACCCACCCAAGTCAAGGACAGGAAGATGGAAGCAGGTGGAGCTTTGTCAATTTGCTGACATGGTGCCTCCCCAGGTGAAACATTCTTCTGGGAGATACTGCATACCAGCAAAGTTAATAATGCTGCATCATATGATGATCCTAAGCATAATTTTGTGAAGGGAGGGAATGCTGGAATGCAAGGGGAAAGCACACACCAGTTAGAGCACGTTCCTAGCTTGCTCTGTTGCTGGACTTGGGCCACCTTCTGCACCACTCTAGCCCAAATCCTTCATCTGTCTGCTTATTGCAGGAATATTGCTAACCACCAGCTGCAGCATTAAACAATTTTTGTGCTCTCTGTATTCTAAAGCAAGCAAGGATCTTATAGTGGCCTTAAGATCGCCTGTCTTCCTACCTCTGAGATCTCGTGCCTTGTATCCTGCTTGTGACACATCCTCAGCACCTAACAGCTGCAGCTAACCTAGGATTACTAGTCTGGTGGGGAGGTTCTCTTTTGCAGGGTCTCCTTCTCTCCCTTACGACACACTTACATGGCCTATGAAGTTCTTCTATCTAGAAATAAACCATATATACATTGCAAGTTATCAATACACGCCATACGCAGTGTCTTTCAGCAGGGCTTGTGAACTGCTGAAAACAAGACCATCCATTTAATCTCACTTTACAGGCTCTCCTTCAATCAACGTAAGCAAAAACACGTACCACACCTGCAACAGCTCCAATTCCTGTAGAAATGCAGGCAAACATCACTTGGCCACAGTTTCAGAACTGTTCCACACCAACTATGCTAAACACCTCCTTGCAGTGTGCCTTTAAGTGGAACAACTGAAAACTTGACGAGGTCCTGGGCAACCCTCTCTAGATGACAGTGCTTTGAGCAGGGATTTGTCCTACATAGGTGCCAGCCAACCTCAGCTGTTCTGTGATTATGTGGGAAAAAAAATAAATCCCAGTGGTTCTAGCACTTCATCAATAAGCTGTATGACACAGTATTTTCCAAACTCTGACCCATGGAGAAGCGTTGCCCCGACCCCTTTTGAAGTGAGGGTTTGTGCATAAGCTGCTTTCTGAATTGCTCCTTACTTTTCCTTCTCTGCTTTCACTTTTGTTTTATTTGCATTTGCAAGCAACAGCAAAAGCATTTCCATTTCTGGAGCCTTACTTTTGGAAACAATGAATTTAATTTTGATCTATTTCAGTCAAAAAGGAAGTGTCTGGTTTTGTTACGCTGCTAATTGTCTGAATCCTCTGTCTCACCTCATCTGTCTCACTTAGATCCAGAGAGTGCTTTGGATCTAACACACTCAATACCTTCACAAACACCTACTTAGAGATAAAAAAAAAAATCACCTTTATATAGACCACTGTTCCCTTCATACACATTCATGTGACTGCTATGAGTACCACGCTGTTACTGACTAATGAAAAAAGACAGAATTAAATTCTATATAAAACATACTACAGGAAGAAGCAGAAGACAAATGAACTTCTATTTGCAAATGGCAGTACTTCTTACCTTGTATTTTTCCATACAAAATACATTGCACTTTTCTCTTTATACTGAACCTACTGAACATCTCACAAATAGCTCAGCAGATAGAATGGGTCTGTGGACAGAGGCAAGAGTTCATCCCCTTAAATTGCCGGTATTCAGTCATGGACCTTACTCCCCAAGGGAACCCACTGCAACAAGTGTGGGAAAGACTCTGTAAAGGGAGGAGGAAAACTTCCTAGAGCTTTCCCCCAGATTCCACACTTACCAAAGGCTCTAGTTCTTTGCGGTCTATGAGGTTGAGCTCTGTCACAAAGTAATAAAAATGCTTGTAACAGGTATTGACGTGAGCCTCAGCCCCCATAAGGATGATGCGGTCAAAGTGATGGATGTAGACGTGAACAAACACCCGAAAAAGCCGGCAGAGTATCTTCTTGCAGATCTGAAGGAAGTTCTTTGGAAAGGGAACACCTGTGAATAGAGAAGGAAGGGTTGTCATCACTGTCCTGTCATCCTCCCAAGACAACAGCTTTGGAGCAAAGTGTGAGTTTGTAATGGCAAACTAGGTTATGACTTCCTAGCCCTCCTTTCCAAACCAGAAGATTGTTTAACGCACACATTTATCTGACCGCTAGCATGAAAGATAACCCAATACTTAAGGAACTTCAACGGATTAAGACTGAGAGCTACGAGTCCTTTTTCCCTGAATAATTTAATGGAGGAACATCCAGTATTGTAACATTCAGATATGTGATTTTCACTGCAGTGCACAGTGCCCCATTAACATCAGTGGCTTTACATCCTGAGATGGCCGTTCCCCATACTGATACATACAGAGCTCGTCCTAGAAGTGATAAGACACTCTCCAGCTCATCTTATTCAACAGTGGCATCCCACAGCATGAAGTTTAATAATGAACCTGAAACGACTGACTGAAGGACAGATCCCTTTACTTCCACCTTTCTTCCAGTCTTATGCACCAATCTGATTTCTCTTTTAACAGAGTAACTCTTGAAGAGACACAGGAACAGCTCTCCCAAAATACCTTAGCAGTTACACCACTTTGCAGCTGGAGACTCCAAAGCAGCAGCAAAAGCAACATTTGCACGTAAACAGCCAGGCATCCACCGTGTGGAACCAGTAATTCCTTCAAAACCACCCTTCATTAAAGATTGATCCTGCACAGCCTTGTGTACCATTGAGCTGCCCCAAAAAGCTGAAGGGTTCATCCCCTTCTGTGATTGTGCCTCAGATATGATGACTTTAGTGCCATGCGTGAAACTACTGCTACTTTGCTTTGTTGCACATCCTCCTGATTTTTCAGTTATAGTTCATGTTTTAGTCAGATTTGAACTACATAACTCTAGCTACTGCTTCTTTAAAAAAAAACCGAAAACCTCACACTAACCAGTCCCATAATCCCTAAAAGCCCAGCTCATGCTCTCAACAAGAAAAAAGTTTATTATTTGCAAAAAGAAGATGGAGATATTAAATTAACACTGTTGCAAGCTTTCTAGTTTTCAAATTTTAGTCTCCTGTTAAATACTGCTCAGCACTCAAGAGTGGTGAATTAAAGGATAATTTGCCCAGTTTCACTGGGGGGGATGTGAGGACATACAGTGAGAATTTCCACACTGTAAATAGATTTTAGATTACAGATTACATAAATTATCAACTGTGGCTGTAACCAGTCTGGGTCTCATCAACAGAAACATGCGTCTTATTCTGGACTCCCTGGCCAAGCAGGTACCAGGGTACATCCACTGCGGATGTGAACAACCCTGTGTCTGTTAGCACGTGAGTGGGGAAGCACATCAGCAAGCAGAAGTCTCCTGCTTAGTTTACTCCTGAATCGCTTCTACACTTGCCGTAGCTGAGGGGTAGATAATGTGGGAAGGCCTCTTGGGCTTTTTTTTAGCCTGTACTGGGTTCACTGGGGGCAGATCCTTTTGATATAATTTCAAGCAGCTTTAGAGACGCAGTGCAGCCCTTCTTACTCCTGATGTATAAAGTGAGAAACAGATAAATAGCTGCATTTATCAAAGCACAACTACTTTACCTCCTTAAAAAATGTTTGGTTTTGGTTGTCACATCCATTCATCTCAATGCTAAAGCTAATATTGAATCTCAGAGAGGAGGAGGTCTAAATGCTCAAGTCATGAACTAAGACATCACTAAACTACAGAAATGATAACATATACAGATATCTTGGCAATATTTGAATCAAAACTCCACACGATTAGCCAAACACCTGGACTATAACAAATGATTGCTGTTACTTCCAAGGGCAAAATAAATACAATCTACCAAAAACCATAACAGAAACCCCATTTAGTTGCTTATTAACCAGGGGGATCACATTTCAGCCATCAGAGAATAGCTGGCACTTATCACTGCAAGCTGGTTCACTGAGCTGAGAGATGAATTCTTGAAGGCATTTTCTGATACAGTACAAGCATGTTCCAAAACGGAGAATAATGAGTTTCATCCTCCCCAGGCTGACATATGATTGTTACTAAAGATATTACTGTAAAGAACAAACTCGTACTTCACTATTAACTGACTAAAACTGAATAAACCAAGCTGACAGATCTTTAACTTCTCTGCAGCCCATGTTCCCACTTAACAGTTACAAGCAGTAAGTGCAAAGGCCGTAGAGTACTGTTTCTGCTGTGGGTAAGGACCTTCATCTGACAACTTCTTAGATGTGTTAGGCAGTGATAGAGGGGATTGTAAGAAATGTGAAACTATAACAAAAAGCCTTAATATTTTTTAGTTTTTAGTAGTCTTTAGTACTGTAACTTGTATTTCTGCATGCATAGTGATCTGACGATGTAACTGTTACACTAATCCCTGTTTTCTCATTAAGGAATGTAGTGGAAGGACATGGGCACAAACTATCACTTAGTCGTTAGACAAAATAATTAAGTGAAACAAAAGTGGTCTTGATTCTCAGCAAATAATTGGGATAATTGTGGGATAAAAGAGACTCCTAAATAACTCTACTCCAGACTGGTCGGCCTTGGGAGGGCAAATGCGCCAAGCTACAGAGATAAGGAGGCACCAAGAGAGCAACAAGACTGGAGCAAAACAACCTGAAGGACATGATATACGTGATGCTAGAACTGAGTTTGCGCAGAAAGAAATGTCAATCAGTGAACAGCGTGATGAAGAGGATGGGCCTTCATCTTGGGACCCCCGAAGACCACCCAAAGATACTAACAGACATGCGTGAAAGATATTTACATATGGTAATTAGAAATATAATGAATAATTACCTGTGTGATTGTATTTAACCTGAAGCAACTGGGTGTCTGGCGCGCACGTTTGGAGGAGAGATCCCCCGTGTGCCCGGCGCCGCAATAAAGAATACCTGCGTAACAGTATACATTGTACTGTTAGGTTTTTCTTACCGGATCTTTGAATCAGCAGTCAATTTAAGGACATGTAAATACACACAGGAAAAAAATAGCTGGTGCAGAAGAGCCTAGGGTCAATAATAAACTTGCAGTGTTCCCACAGCTCCTCATGTGCATTAAGTTTTCAGACAGGCTGTGTAGTTTCATTTGCCATTGTGGAACTTCTCTCGTTTTGCAAAGCTATCTTTGTTTCATCTACTCTTAAATAAACAGCAAAACATTGCTGCTATCACACATTTATCACCCGGGTATGGCAGAACCCATAATGGCTCTCCGACTTCTCTCCCCTTCCTGTAAAACTGGTTTACAGACTGACATGGTGTGCTAAATAGTTAAAAACTGCCTCCTTGTACAACTGAAAGCAACTGGCAGCTGTGCAGTTAGCTAGACTCGTGAGCCTCGGAGAGCCTGCCAGCCCATCTGCCCCTGGAGTACAGAGGAGGCTCAAAGTTTGGTCAGCCTCAAGGTGCAGATGAGCATACTGAGGTGGCTGCACCACTAGTTTAGACATACACTCTGCTGCTCTCTGTGTTCAAAATTAGACAAAAGGATGGTAGAAATGCAGTCTCAAAGGAAAAAAAATTAATATAACAGAATAGATTCTGATCTCAATTATACTAGAGCGAATACAAAGCAATGCCATAAAAATTTAAAAAATCATAGTGAAATGATTCTAGATTTATATTCTGAGGTCAGAATTTGGCCTAATGTTTTGTTCCCACTGCAACTGCTATAGTTGTAAATAAATCAGCCACAGAACATAAGCATTATGAGTGGCTCTTGGGAATGGACTAGCTTAGATTTAGATCCTTGACTTGTTAAGGAGTCTGTTCTCCGTTCCTCAGCTCAGCCACAGTAGCCTTTGCCTTCTCCCCTCCAAGCCCTCATTTAACATGGAGTCCAGATTTAATAATTCCTCTTCTGGAACTTTGTAGTTAAAAAAGGAGAGGAAGAGAAAGGAAAAAAAAAAAACAACCCTAAACCTACCAGAAGTCCAAGTATGTATTTAAACTCTGGATTATTTTTAACAGCGAAAAAACTTTCCAAGAAGAAAGATGACTGTCTTTCTACCTGCAAGGGGATACTGTAAAAAGACAGAATGTAAAACCACCAAATTAGATAGCTGAGTTATGGTTACTAAAAGGCAAAGAAATATAAAGATGACACTGAAATTTCTGAGCTAGCTGCTGCTTGCTGAAAAAAATATTTCTTGATGAGTGAACTGGCAGCCTTGATTCATCTGTAGGCTGAGCCCCAGTGTTGATGTACGAGAAGAAAGTAATAGCAGGGTCCTTTTTGTCAGCCTGGTGTTCAAAACCCCAGAGCTCCCCATTATGTCCCAAGAACATGCAAGCAGCTTTCAAACATCCCAGTCACACACCAGAAGCTCCTTTAACTCAGGCTTATATATGCAATTGGGAAACAATTCAGTGTGGGGCAGACAGTCATGATATAACCAGTAACAAACACAGCCAGCATGACTGGACCCCATACCCCTCTGGAGCATGTGCTGTACTTGCCAGAGCTGCACTAACAGACAGCCTCCTCCTGCAGAAAAGCTGCACCCGTACACTCTGGTGACAGATGCACCACAGCAGCACAGGGGAGCAACCACGCCATTTCCCCTGCGCTCCAACCTCTCTCTACTCCCTCGACAGTTCTGCTTCTGTTGTCTTGCTAGAAAAGCTACTTGCTACTCCTAACATGAGCAAGACTCTCCACAACTTCCAAAACTCAACTTACCCAATCCATTTATCCAGTTCTTTTCCACCAGAAAATGGAGGGATTTTTTCCTTCTTTTTGAAAACAGCCTTATACCCACAGCTTTCTGTAGACTATCAACTTCATTTTTTACACATTCTTAATTTGCTGTCAGGTGATTTGCTCCTGTGCCACAGTGAGCATTCGTATCTAATCTATCCATCACCAAACGGACATATAGCACAGTGCTAACAAAGTGAGTCATGCGATTGATCTGTTGTCTTTTTTCTTTGAGTGTTCCACACATGTGACAACGGAGACAGTGTCATGGCCCTCCTCTCACAGCACTCC